AGTGCTTTGAAATCTACTGATGACAAGCCCTGTATAAATGCTAGGTATTATTATTACTACAGTGGACCAGATCTTCATCTCCATGAAGCTGTCCTACATAAGCACCTCGACTTGCTGGAAACACTGTAGTGTAGAGTTGGTATAGGAACACATGGTAGGTGTGTGCCCAAGGAAGGGTGTGTGGGCAGAGAACAGTGCTCCAGAGGTCCTCAGATGATAAAATAATAAATAAAGGACTATTGTATTTAACAGTTATACTGCAGTATACATAGAGTTCAACCAGGTCAGGCCAATGCTACCAATCCATGCTGATTAGGCCTCAACTGGACTATTGTGTCCATTTCTGGGCGCCACATTTCAGGAAAGATGTAGACAAATTGGAGAAAGTCCAGAGGAGAGCAACAAAAATGATTAAAGGTCTAGAAAACATGACCTATGAGGAAAGATTGAAAAAACTGGATTTGTTTAGTCTGGAAAAGAGAAGACTGAGGGGAGACATGATAACAGTTTTCAAGTACATAAAAGGTTGTTACAAGGAGGGAGAAAAATTGTTCTTCTTAACCTTTGAGGATAGGACAAGAAGCAATGGGCTTAAATTGCAGCAAGGGAGGTTTAGACTGGACATCGGGAAAAACTTCCTAACTGTCAGGGTGGTTAAGCACTGGAATAAATTGCTTAGGGAGGTTGTGGAATCTCCATCATTGGAGATTTTTAAGAGCAGGTTAGACAAACTCCTGTTAGGGATGGTCTAATAATATTATGGCCTGGTCTACACGGGGAGGGAGGGGTGAGCTAAGTCAGTCTAAGTTACGCAACTTTAGCTACGAAAATAGCGTAGCTGAAGTCGACGTACTTAGAGCTACTTACCGCGGTGTCTTCACTGTGGTAGGTCGACTGCTGATGCTCCCCCGTCGACTCCGCCTAGGCTTCTTGCTCCGGTGGAGTACCGGAGTCGACCAGAGAGTGCTCGGTGGTCGATTTATCACGCCTTCACTAGACACGATAAATCGACCCCTGCTGGATCGATCGCTCTGGAGGTAAGTGTAGACATGCCCTTAGTCCTGCCATGAGTGCAAGGGACTGGACTAGATGACATCTCGAGGTCCCTTCCAGTCAGTGGTGCAAGTAGAAATCATTTATTTCCAGTACTGTACTCATGGGAGTGACACAAGAGGGGGCACATGATCTCCCCACGTGACCCTCCATGTGACTCCAGCCTGGGGACCCACCTTCTGCCAAGTGAAGGGAAATCTGTTCTCACTATGAAAGATGGTGTTTGGAGTCACGTGGGCAAGTTACATGTCCATCACCCCCACCCATATTCTAGTTAGAGCATTCACAGGAAAAGTCCATTGAGTGCAGACAGGCATTTTCCAGGGTCCATTGTGAGCTAAGTGTTCCTTAATGGGTCATTCAACTTTACTTGTCCCTTCATATGCTGGCTAAATACCTTCTGGGTATTACCACAGGAGCAAACATGTAGTAAACATAGCTAATATTCATAACTTCAGATACCAAGATGATGCATGCATAGAAATAGCATAATCATAAGTACCAGCTATTTCACGTACATGACTATTCCCAAAAGAGATTCTGAAAAATCAAACCACGTACCTGAGACCCTATGTGCCAGCACCATGCCCCATTGGAGTTTTGTTATCTGCTATGTAACAACAGAGACGGAGCCAGCGGGGCCGGCTCCAGCATTTCTGCCGCCCCAAGCCAAAAAAAAAAAAAAGCCGCGATCGGCGGCGGCAGTTCAGCGGCAGGTCCTTCGCTCCTAGAGGGAGTGAGGGACCTGCCGCCCCCGAATTGCCGCAGGTGCCGCCCCTCTCCCTTGGCCACCCCAAGCACCTGCTTGTTAAGCTGGTGCCTGGAGCCGGCCCTGGGAGCCAGTGACATAACTCTGTTTAGCCTAAAAGGGCAAGGTTAATTTTAGCTGTTCAAGTGTGACTGAGCCTTTAGTCAGTGAGGGTATACTAGCTGGCACACATTCAGGTCAATGGGCTTCAGTGTTCCTTTGCAGTTAACTTTTTAATGTTCATAAACCTGGTATGGGCTGAGGTGATTTAAAGCATAACACAAGTTTTTAGGTTTGCAAATCCTAGAGATTTTATTATTATTATTATTATTAATTTTAGTTGCTGATCATAATGTGGGAGGGTATCCTCTCTGCCCTCTGCTCATGAGGTTATGTATGTGTCTTGCAGTACTCTTCTGAACACCAGTTGGAAGGAATTTTTTTTTCAGTAAGTATGGACTGATTTCTTTTCTCTTAGAAGGCATGTAATTTTTTCAGGTACACACTGATTGACACAGAAAACAATTGGTGCTGTTAAACTTAATTTTCTATGGAATTTGAAGAAAATTTAACTATATTTTCCAGTACAGTGATGAAATGGGTGTTTGTATATACAAACATCAACATGCTTAACTACTCACTTTCCCTTCAAATATGTAGTATTTCTGTTTGTTTATATGGAATATGGGAGTTGGGCGATGAGCCATTTCAGCATATATATGACTTATTAAAAGACAATTTTAAGTAGAACTGTATCCTAAACTGCATTATGGTATTGTACCCAAACATTGCATTTCAACAGGAGATTCAACTTCCTTTATAGGAGCAGAACAGACTCCTGAAACTCTTACCACAAAAGCGGTCCATAGTAATGCAGATAGTCCCATTGTCTTCAACGGGATTGATCAAATGATTAAGGGTTTACAGGATTAGGTTCCAAGTTTGTAAATTGTTCTGGATGAAACTGACAATGCCTGAGCTGTCAGATCAGAAGGAGCTTCATTCGAATAAAGGGGGGCAGATGTGTGATAAGTCTTAGCTCTGTTGCTAAGATGAGGAACCTATTTTCAGCAAAGTTCTTGGCAGATTCCTGAGGCAGCTGGTTTAAGGCCATCAGTGTCCGGCATTATAATCTTCACTTATAGGTCTCTCATCCACAAAGCTGGAAAATGAGGCGTGTGTTTTCTTTGTTTTTCTGCTCCAGTTCCAATTAACAAAATGCATGTTAGACTAGTTTGGCTGCAAAGAAGAATTCTAGGTACACTGGGGACAACTTGTGCTTCCTGTCAGGATGCAGAACTGGGCTGACATCAGAATCCAAACATCCTCTCCTCAGTGCAAGCAGAGGCATTCCTCTAATGATTTGGACTTGATGTGATGCAGTATGAATGTCATGGATAATTCAGACCAATGGGGAGAAACAGAATCAAAAACACTGTTTAAACATCTTCCATCCACCCTCCCCTCCCCCCTTGAGGACTCCTGACCAATGTAACAGCACAACAATACATATGCTAACAAACCCTTTGTTTAAGTTTGTTAGCATATGTATTGTGCTGTTAAAGCCATAGAATGAATGCCCTCCCTAGCCAGGTTCTTCTCCTTTAAGGACCAGAGCACAGCCCCCCACCTCACACCTCCGGAATGGGGGTGTTAGGCCCAAAAATATGGAGTATAGTTGTTTGGCCAGCTTAGCCAAAGTTAGGCTAACAGTAGTTGCTGGGCCATTCCTGTCTCTCTGTGAAACCTGAGGGCATGCTTGCTTAAGCTGCAAAGAACAAGATAAGAGGTGGGGGCCGCATTCTTGTGCCAGAAGTGCTAGGAACAGTTTGTTGGACAAATGGAGACTTGCAGTCTTCACTCCCTGTTTCTGTTCTTTATCTGTACCCAACTCCCTCTTTCCTCCCATCCTCTGGTGCATGACGAAAAAGCTGATAAGAAGCTGCTGAGGCATCATGAACTGTTTGTACTGTCAAAGAAGATAGATATGCATGAAACTTAGAAACTTAACTAGAAAAGGGGGGTTTGGGGTTGCTTAATTATGACGCGACGGAACTGTCTATATAATCTCACTAGTTATTGTAATCGTGGCTGGTTCTCTCTGGAGACGGGCCGCTCTCTATTGTTGTGTGCACTCTTCAATAAAGAGCTTGTATTGGACCTTGCTGGTGTTGCCTGTCTCTCACTCTGCGGTCAGACAACGAACCTTGCCGTCTGGGTTAAAAAGTCCCCGACAGGGGGCTAGCCCCAAGTCTTTCTGATACCCCGTACCTGCTAAAACTCTCTTGCCGGTACTGCATACTGGAAGGTACCACCCTAATTGCACTACTGTTTCTAGTCCTATGAGTCTATGAATCAGCACAAGTTAAATTAGCCTTAAAGTGGCTCTATTTTATGCTAAGGGCCCCACTGTCCCCATGGCCAGATCCAGGAACGGGGCTGGGAGTGTGAAAAGATGACTTCCAGTTACTTTGGATCCCACTTGAATCCTGTGCCAAGTGCATCTGGGCTGGACCTGAGTGGATCCAAGCCCAAATAAGCCAGGTTAAATTGCCAGTCACAGTTGTCTATTTAACATATCGATCACGATTCTCGTTGGTTTTTACATTCACGCTGGAGTGTATGAGAATACCGTGACTACTGTTTCTGTCAGAGAGGGCAAGAGGTGGGAACTATAGATCAGAACACAGCCCCTTAGAATCAGCCCTGTTTGAAGAAAGAGAGATCGAGCTATATCTAACGCATTTAGGAAACGCCCCTGGGAAATGCCTATTTCATTTGGTTGCAGTCTCTCTGAAAGTCTGACTCATAGTCTAGGACAATGATTACATGTTTTCCACTCAGCCGAGTTTCTTTCAAGCTTGAACTCGTCTTTAACAGGGGGTGGCTGGGGCTGCTTAGATAGGGAGCGTGGAGAAGTGGGGCACCCTGGTGGTGTTGTGACCCGCTGAGAATAGCGCACTTTGGCTGGCAGGCTTCAAACGCCGCCACATCCCTTCCCCGCGCTTTGCAGCCGCCCCTGCTGTCAGGGACGGGCCAGAGGCTGTGTCAGGGCGGGGAGGGGAGCAGGTCTGTCTATTTTGGAGCCCGCAGCCGCCGCAGCAGGGAGGAAGGTTGTGAAGAGCTCCGTGTAAAGCGAGAGGGCGGGGTGGAGCCGCAATAAGGAGCTTCTTTCAGTCCCCGAGCGGACATTCCCTTCCCTGCGGCCAGCTCCGGCGGGACAGGAGCCGCGAGCCGCTTTGCACACTCCCGGAGCAGGATGCTGTTCCCAGGCCGGGCTGCACCGAGCGGCTCCGCTCCGCTCTCCTTCGTTCATCTCGTCTCGTGTCTCCTGGCAGCGTCGGCTGCCGCTGCGGCCGGGTATGGACGAGGGCGAGCCGCGGGGGGTAGAGGGAGGCTGGCTGGAGGCAAGGCGCAGTGCGTGCTGTGCCCCACTCAGGCCTGAACGCGGTGCTGCAGCGGCCGGATCCTCCCGGATCGGGGCCTCAGTCAGCAGAAAGCGCTGGCCAGTCATTGGCCTCAGCTGGGGCCCGCTGAGACGTTTTCTCCCAGGATGATCATAGCACTGCAAATAAAGGGAGAAACTTTATAGCCAGCTGCATTTCACATGCACTGCGTGAAAAGTTAATGCTCCCCCCCTTAGACAGTGAGTCATGGGTAGGAGGAACCAGAGAAATCCCACTACTTTTCTGTGCTAGTGCGCTTTATGTTCAATAACATCCCAGCTAGGGAATGTGTTTTTAGATCTCCTCTATGTTTTACTGTGATTTGCCCTCTCACATGCTAAATATGTTGTGACACAAAATTACCTTACCCTGCAGCATTGAGATGTGGCTTCCCCTGTTTTCTTTCTTGTTTATTTTCTAGGAGTTTCACAGACTAACCACAGCTTTTAGGTACTCCTTTGGGATTTAAGTTGCATTTATTTAGCTTGGGGCCTTAGCCTCCTCCCCCTGAAGTCGGTGGAGGAAGATGAGGCACACAGGCCCCGATCCTGGCTCGGGTTCCATTGACATTAATGGGTCTCTGCCCTGGCACTGAGGTTTGCCTGCATGGAGTAACTTGTATGTTACCAGAAATTAATTTCATAGAATCATAGAATCATAGAATATCAGGGTTGGAAGGGGCCTCAGGAGGTCATCTAGTCCAACCCCCTCAAAGCAGGACCAATTCCCAACTAAATCATCCCAGCCAGGGCTTTGTCAAGCCTGACCTTAAAAAGCTCTAAGGAAGGAGATTCCACCACCTCCCTAGGTAACCCATTCCAGTGCTTCACCACCCTCCTAGTGAAAAAGTTTTTCCTAATATCCAACCTAAACCTCCCCAACTGCAACTTGAGACCATTACTCCTTGTTCTGTCATCAGGTACCACTGAGAACAGTCTAGCTCCATCCTCTTTGGAACCGCCTTTTAGGTAGTTGAAATCAGCTATCAAATCCCCCTCATTCTTCTCTTCTGCAGACTAAACAATCCCAGTTCCCTCAGCCTCTCCTCATAAGTCATGTGCTCCAGCCCCCTAATCATTTTTGTTGCCCTCCGCTGGACTCTTTCCAATTTTTCCACATCCTTCTTGTAGTGTGGGGCCCAAAACTGGACACAGTACTCCAGATGAGGCCTCACCAATGTCGAATAGAGGGGAATGATCACGTCCCTCGATCTGCTGGCAATGCCCCTACTTATACAGCCCAAAATACCGTTAGCCTTCTTGGCGACAAGGGCACACTGTTGACTCATATCCAGCTTCTCGTCCACTGTAACCCCTAGGTCCTTTTCTGCAGAACTGCTTCCTAGCCATTCGGTCCCTAGTCTGTAACAGTGCATGGGATTCTTCCGTCCTAAGTGCAGGACTCTGCACTTGTCCTTGTTGAACCTCATCAGGTTTCTTTTGGCCCAGTCCTCTAATTTGTCTAGGTCCCTCTGTATCCTATCCCTACCCTCCAGTGTATCTACCACTCCTCCCAGTTTAGTGTCATCTGCAAACTTGCTGAGAGTGCAGTCCACGCCTCCAGATCATTAATGAAGATATTGAACAAAACCGGCCCCAGGACCGACCCCTGGGGCATTCCACTTGAAACCGGCTGCCAACTAGACATGGAACCGTTGATCACTACCCGTTGAGACCGACGATCTAGCCAGCTTTCTATCCACCTTATAGTCCATTCATCCAGCCCATACTTCTTTAACTTGCTGGCAAGAATACTGTGGGAGACTGTATCAAAAGCTTTGCTAAAGTCAAGGAATAACACATCCACTGCTTTCCCCTCATCCACAGAGTCAGTTATCTCCTCGTAGAAGGCAATTAGGTTAGTCAGGCACGATTTCCCCTTGGTGAATCCGTGCTGACTGTTCCTGATCACTTTCCTCTCCTCTAAGGCCTGGTCTACACTACGAGTTTAGGTCGACTTTAGCCGCGTTAAATCGACTTAAGCCTGGACACGTTTACACTACGAAGCCCTTTCTGTCGACTTAAAGGGCCCTTTAAACCGGTTTCCTAACACCACCTCGACAAGGGGATTAGCGATAAAATCGGCCTTAGGGGGTCGGAATTGGGTTAGTGTGGACGGAATTCGACATTACTGGCCTCCGGGAGCTATCCCACAGTGCTTCATTGTGACCGCTCTGGACAGCACTCTCATCTCAGATGCACTGGCCAGGTAGACAGGAAAAGCCCCGCGAACGTTTGAATTTCATTTCCTGTTTGCTCAGCGTGGAGAGCACAGGTGACCATGCAGAGCCCATCAGCACAGGTAACCATGATGGAGTCCCAGTCCCAGTCCCAGGATCGCAGAAGAGCTCCAGCCTGGACCGAACGGGAGGTACAGGATCTGATCGCCATCTGGGGAGATGAAGCAGTGCTCGCCGAACTCCGAAACAGTAAAAGAAACGGCAAAACATTAGAAAAGATCTCCAAGGCCATGAAGGACAGAGGCCATAACAGGGACGCGCGGCAGTGCCGCGTGAAAATTAAGGAGCTAAGGCAAGCCTACCACAAAGTCAGAGACGCAAACGGAAGGTCCGGGGCAGAGCCGCAAACATGCCGCTACTACGCGGAGCTGCATGCCATTCTAGGGCGTGCAGCCACCACTAGCCCAAGCGTGTTCTATGAGTCCCTCTCTGCAAACGGGGAAGCGGGTTCGGCGGACGAGGAAGATGAGGATGGAGAGAACATAGATAGCTCACAGCAGCAAGGAAGCGGAGAAACCAGTTACCCCAACAGCCAGGATATGTTTGTCACCCAGGACCTGGAAACAGTAACCCCCGAACTGACCCAAGACCCTGAGGGCACACAGGGGACCTCTGGTGAGTGTACCTTTGCAAAAATTACACATGGTTTAAAAACAAGCGTGTTTAATGATTAATGATTAATTTGCCCTGGCAATCGCGGCCAGTACAGCTACTGGAAAAGTCTGTTAACGTGTATGGGGATGGAGCGGAAATCCTCCAGGGACATCTCCAGAAAGCTCTCCTTCATGTACTCCCAAAGCCTTTGCAAAAGGTTTCTGGGGAGGGCTGCCTTATCCCGTCCGCCATGGTAGGACACTTTACCACGCCAGGCCAGTAGCACGTAGTCTGGAATCATTGCATAACAAAGCATGGCAGCATATGGTCCCGGTGTTTGCTGGCATGCAGACAACATCCATTCCTTATCTCTCTTTGTTATCCTCAGGAGAGTGATATCATTCACGGTCACCTGGTTAAAATGGGGCAATTTTATTAAGGGGACATTCAGAGGTGCCCCTTCCTGCTCTGCTGAACAGAAATATACCCCGCTGTTAACCACGCGGTGGGGGGGGGGGTGGGTTGAAGTGACCATCCCAGAGAATTGGGTGTGTGGGGGAGGGGAGTTAGTTGGGTTTGTGCTGCATGTTAAACCTGAAATCGCAGCCCCTCCTTTTACATTGCAAACCCATTTTAAATGGCACGGGTGCTTGGTATGGGAAATGAGGGCAGAACTGTTTGAAACCATCCCCACATGTTAAGAAGGTTAAAAAAGCCCAAAGACTATATGTCTTACCATGGCTGCCTGCAAGCTGAAATCTGTGTCCTGGCACTGCGTGAGTGATCTCTCACACCAAACCAGGAGACTCTCAATATAAGAGGAAAAATGCGACCTTGTAACGAAAGCACATGTGCTGTGTGATGTTGTGAACAGCAAAATCTAACGTGAAAGAGTCTACCCATTGTTCTCTAAAATGTATCTTTTTTAACAACCTCTCCCTTCTCCACCAGCTGCAAATCTTACTCCTTCGCAGAGGCTAGTGAATATTCGAAGAAGGAAGCGAAGGACGCGTGACGAAATGTTTACTGAACTTCAGACTGCCTCCCACGCTGACAGAGCACAGCTGAATGCGTGGAGGCAGTCAATGACTGATTTTAAAAAAGCCCAATATGAGCGAGAGGAGAGGTGGCGTGCTGAATCGCGGGCTGAAGAGGAGAAGTTGCGTGCTGAAACGCGGGCTGAAGAGGAGAGGTGGCGTCAACTTGTAATCAGAAAGCAAGAGTCGATGCTCCGGCTGCTGGAGCATCAAAGTGATATGCTCCTGCGTATGGTTGAGCTGCAGGAAAGGCAGCAGGAGCAGAGAACGCCGCTACAGCCCCTCTGTAACCAGCAGCCCTCCTCCCCAAGTCCCATTGCCTCCTCACCCAGACGCCCAAGAACACGGTGGGGGGGCCTTCGGCCACCCACTCACTCCACCCTAGATGATTTCCATAGCAATAAGTTTTAAATTGGAGTGTGTCCTTTTCCTTCCCTCCTCCCCCACCCATCCCGGGCTACCTTTCCAATTATCCCCCTAGTTGTGTGCTGAATTAATAAAGAATGCATGAATGTGAAGCAACAATGACTTTATTGCCTCTGCAAGTGGTGCTCGAAGGGGGGAGGGTAGTAGGGGAGGGTGGGGTGGTTGGTTTGCAGGGAAGTAGAGTTAACAGGGTGGTGGGGGAGGGGCAGAGGGTTCATCAAGGAGCAACAAACAGAAGTTTCACTCCGTAGCCTGGCCAGTCACAAAACTGGTTTTCAACGCTTCTCTGATGCGCACCGCGCCCTGCTGTGCTCCTCTAACCGCCCTGGTGTCTGGCTGCGCGTAATCAGCGGCCAGGCGATTTGCCTCAACCTCCCACCCCGCCATAAATGTCTCCCCCTTACTTTCACATATATTGTGGAGCGCACAGCAAGCAGCAATAACAATGGGGAGATTCTTTTCGCTAAGGTCTGAGCGAGTCAGTAAGCTGCGCCAGCGCGCTTTTAAACGGCCAAATGCACATTCCACCACCATTCGGCACTTGCTCAGCCTGTAGTTGAACAGGTCCTGACTACTGTCCAGGCTGCCTGTGTACGGCTTCATGAGCCATGGCATTAA